CAAAACGAAAGAAAACAGACTACAGACAGCTCTCTGCTTATGTAATCCGTATGAAATGTGCATTTCTCTCTGGCGCGTTCACTACTGAATATCGCGAGTCAGCATCGTCAACTTCATCTTAGCCGACAAAGAAAACACTTGTTTATTAACAAGTGTTTATTAATAAACAATTAAAATATATCCTTGCTATATTTTACAAATTGATAATCATTCCTTTTGCCGGTTTTTTGTGACAGCTTTTAGGTGTTTTATTGGCAGCGCCACCCTTACATGTGGTGTGTGTGTGTGTGCGTGTGTGTGTGTGTGTGTGTTGTCCCCGCATTTAAAGATGGGACCCCCCAAAAAATGTAATTAAATTAAATAAAGCAACATGGTAAAAAGATGAAAATGACTTGATTTTACTTTCAATTCCTTTTACATTTTCCAAGGTATTAACATTAACATTTTTCATAACTCCATGTAGGACGTTTCTGTGCATAAATGTAAGCACTGTGGCAGTAGATTACTAATGCAATATTTAGAAAATCTACTCTTGTACTCTTGATACTCAAGTACTTTTAAAAACAAGTACTTTAGTACTTTTACTTAAGTAGACATTTGACTGTAGTACTTTTACTTGTACTTGAGTAAAATTTAGCAAGGGGTATCTGTACTTTTACTCAAGTAACAAAGCTCTGTACTCTGTCCACCTCTGACAATTACCCGCTAACATTCGCTTATTTTTCGCACTGAATTGCGTGCTAAATTAATAACAAATTACTGGTAAAAAAAATACACATTTGGATCGATATTTTTATGTGAGGATCGATCCGTTTCGATACCACGTCAGTATCGAAGTATCGATACTTTAGGATCGATCCGCCCATCACTACACGGCACACGTTGTGTGATTGTCCCGGCAGTTTAGGACATCGCACAAGATTTGTCTCAACACAGAAAACATTTCATCACTAGATAGATTTTTGTTTTGTTTATTGAAAGTGTGGTTTATGTCATCTGAATGTGTGGAAAGCTTTTCAGAGAAGATAAGGTAACGTTTTAGCACAATTCACAACCAGTGGTAGTTCAGAAAAAAAAACTTCGGTCTTCCGACCTTTTATCATCGTGTATTCTCAAAGATATTCAGTCAACTCAATGCATTAATATGCGCGAGGGAGGGAGAGAGAGCAAAACCGTCTGAAGACGGTGTGCGCGCGACCGGGGCTTTCACTCGCTCTGCTCGTTCCCTCAGTTAAACAAGCGCAGCAGTCGGTCATCTACATCACTCACCGGTCAAATAAGGCTTCGGCGGGACAAAAATACGCCTTAGTAAGGCTGACAGAAAACAGCGTGCAAGTTCCAGTCTTCTTGCGCTTGATGTTTAAACTGACAGGACTTGAGCTTGTAATGAATGCGCTCGTGCAAAAACAAACATCCCCACCCCCGCACTCACATCTACACACGAATGATTATCGGCCTGTTCACATCGGCCCTATTTTGACATCGGAACGATACCGATGTGTAAAAAATTGACCATATCGGCCGATGTTATATCGGCGGCCGATATATCGTGCATCACTAGACTCAATATAGTCTACTAGCCGAGACTCCTTTATGTGTACAGATGTGACGTAATGACTCAATATAGCCTACTAGCCGAGACTCCTTCTTTATGTGTACAGATGTGACGTAATGACTCAATATAGCCTACTAGCCGAGACTCCTTCTTTATGTGTACAGATGTGACGTAATGACTCAATATAGCCTACTAGCCGAGACTCCTTCTTTATGTGTACAGATGTGACGTAATGACTCAATATAGCCTACTAGCCGAGACTCTTCTTTATGTGTACAGATGTGACGTAATGACTCAATATAGCCTACTAGCCGAGACTCCTTTATGTGTACAGATGTGACGTAATGACTCAATACAGCCTACTAGCCGAGACTCCTTTATGTGTACAGATGTGACGTAATGACTCAATATAGCCTACTAGCCGAGACTCCTTCTTTATGTGTACAGATGTGACGTAATGACTCAATATAGTCTACTAGCCGAGACTCCTTTATGTGTACAGATGTGACGTAATGACTCAATATAGCCTACTAGCCGAGACTCCTTCTTTATGTGTACAGATGTGACGTAATGACTCAATATAGCCTACTAGCCGAGACTCTTCTTTATGTGTACAGATGTGACGTAATGACTCAATATAGTCTACTAGCCGAGACTCTTCTTTATGTGTACAGATGTGACGTAATGACTCAATATAGTCTACTAGCCGAGACTCCTTCTTTATGTGTACAGATGTGACGTAATGACTCAATATAGTCTACTAGCCGAGACTCCTTCTTTATGTGTACAGATGTGACGTAATGACTCAATATAGTCTACTAGCCGAGACTCTTCTTTATGTGTACAGATGTGACGTAATGACTCAATATAGTCTACTAGCCGAGACTCTTCTTTATGTGTACAGATGTGACGTAATGACTCAATATAGTCTACTAGCCGAGACTCCTCCTTTATGTGTACAGATGTGACGTAATGACTCAATATAGTCTACTAGCCGAGACTCCTCCTTTATGTGTACAGATGTGACGTAATGACTCAATATAGTCTACTAGCCGAGACTCTTCTTTATGTGTACAGATGTGACGTAATGACTCAATATAGTCTACTAGCCGAGACTCCTCCTTTATGTGTACAGATGTGACGTAATGACTCAATATAGTCTACTAGCCGAGACTCCTCCTTTATGTGTACAGATGTGACGTAATGACGCAAAGACATGCTCGAATCTCCCGCGGAAATCCACCAGTACCATTGGAATTAAAAACATTATTACAAACTTACCGCTTTGAATCGACCTAAGGCAAGCAGATAGTTTTGAACACTGGCTGGTTATGCATTTTCTCAAATATGTATTTTGGATAATTGTTAACCCCAAAAAAGCTACGGACTGCAGCTTTAAATGGAGCTTTATTAATTTTTTTTTAACTCAGTTACATAACTCAATGTGTTTTAGTGGTTGTATTATTGCAAAATTAAGCTCAATTAAAGGCTTTCACTCTAAATAAGATGTTTTTATATTAAATAAATACTCTAATTGCAGAATTAAATAGTATCATCTCATAGTTATACATTAATAGATATTGACCCCTTGATTTCAGTGCATTTTGCTTGTTAGTAACTTATCTTAGCAGCTTGACTAGTTTACTACTAGTATTACAAAGGATGAGTAGCTTGTAGCTTGGCAAGCAACAGTTTTAAAGTATTTCTTCAACACAAACAATTTATGTTATGAAAGTGAACTCTAAGGCTCCAGACCCCTGCGGAGCAGCACTGTTTACTGCCATAATGACAGTAATAATGAAAGATCATTGAAGAGGATCAATTTAATTAGCGCTCCCTATAGAGAGCTCCTTCAAGCCACTTTAAGGCTTTTTGCAGTAAAATCATTACATTTAATTTAACACAGGACTTATTTTTAGTCCCCTAATCACTCCAGAGCTTCACATTTACTGGATGAAATGATCATATGACCAGCAGCTGAGACCTTGATGCTGAAAACGCTGCTTATAATGAAGTCCGTACGGTTACAGTTTTAGGCATCCACTTCAAACTAGGGAAATTTATTAAACAATTTTGACTTACTAAGTTAGACTAACATCTAGTATACTATGTAGTATGCGATACAAAGTACAGACTGCATCCTATTCACTACATCCCATACACTACGCATAGTACACAATGCACACGAATAGCTTTTTAGAAGAACACAGAGTTCTAGCGGCTTGTTAGAACCAAAACTAATGATATTACATGAAAGACATTGATTTTATCACGTCTGGTTAGGGAACTTTAACACATATTATGCCGGTTGTTGAATTTCAGATCAATACATGTCTGACAGCAAACATTTAAATTCATGTACATATTAAAAAAGGATATAAAAATATTTAAGCCATATACTACCCACTAAACAGAGAAGGAGAGGGATAAACTTCTTAAAAACATAATCTATGGTCATTATACATCACTCCCAGCTACGAGAATCAATATGAGGTCTTAGCTGGAGTCACATTTCAGTGGTGTTTATATACAGAGTTTATTCAAAGGAAACAGATCAATGGCCCTCTGCACCCCTGCAGTGAATGCAGACGCTCACTGTGAGATCTGCTCTTAAAGCTGAGAGCTCTTATCTCTCTTTCTTTCATTTTCTCAAGCCTGCATGCGGTCTCCACCTATTTTTACCCAGCGGGCAGTGCTCCGTGTGACTACCGTGCACATTACCGGTCGAGGGCAAAAGCAGAGTCCATTAAACGATTGCCCTCTGGTCAGTGCATCAGCTATTTTAGTGAAGGCTTTCATGTTATTGAACCAGAAGACCTCAATGATCCATTGTTACTGTTTCTCTAATTGGACATAAACATCACTGTAAAGTATGCAAGTTCTAAATGTTTTGTGGTCAGTAAATTCTCTCTTTTTTTGAAAAAAGGAAATGACTTTTTATTCATAAGAACAAAAGAAACATTTATAATATCACACAAGATTTATATCTCAAATAAATGCTGCTCTTTTGAACTTTCTATTCATCAAAAAAATGAACGGTATCTTCTTGAGTTTCAGCGGTCAACGGTTTCTTGAGCCCCAAATCAGTCTATTGAAAATATTAGGATGACACTGAAGACTGGAGTAATGGCTGCTGACAATTAAGCTATGCCATCTCAGGAAATAATTATAGTTTTTTTTTTTTTTTTATAGCTTTTACTGTATTTTTGATCAAATAAATACAGCCTTGGTTAGCTTAAGAGACTTCATTAAAAACCATACCACACACTTTTGAATGGTATTACAGACACACACACACACACACACACATAATGTATATATATATATATATATATATATATATATATATATATATATGTGTGTGTGTGGTAAGTTGAATTTTACTTTTTGTGTAAACTATCCCTTTAATTGCGCAACCCCACCTGAAGGAGAGGGAGGGGCTTACCTGTAGACAGGCCACGCCTATCCCCACAGCTCCAATGATGAGCAAGTGATCCGCCAGGAACTGCTCCAGTTTCGTGATACAGCCGCCCTGTGAGAGACCACAGCATTATAAACTACTTCAGTTCATAAATGTACATATCATGTGCTTGTCTTTTCATTGTCAACATGCATTTGTGGATTTGTAAATCGATTTATTTTGCAGACTGATAAAGACTTACAGATGTATGGGTGATAGGGAGATTTTTTTAATTGTGTGATTTACAAGACATTATTGTGAATACTGCCACAACAAATCGCATATAGAATAAAACGAATGGCTCTCGATAGGCCTGTAAAACCAATGTTGTAATGTATTATGTATCGCACCGGAGGTCTGTTCCCAAAGAATACATACAGAGAGCTTGGCAGCAGTTCACTGTAGTGTTACCTCACACTTCACAAGCTCATATATGTTACCAGTCGCACCTGTCTCGCTCACAGCTGTGCTTTCATAGTCTAAATGACTCCCAAGGGGTGTATCAAACACTTCATGATGATATGGTTCACAGGCGCATTGTAGTTCCCACAGACAATGAGGAAGCATCTAAGCATGTGGTAGCTTTGCCTCAAATCTCAATACCACAACAGGACATTAATAGAGTTCTGTGTTTTGTAAAGGAAATTAAGTGCAGAAGAATACACAAGTATGATTATGCTGAATAGATGTTATGTGGAGGATGATTTGATGTTAACAGTGTCAGACCCACCTCCACCTTGTAGATGTTGGAGGGGTGGTCTCTCTTTCCACACTGAGGCGTGATGGTCTTACAGCAGCTGTCAGGGACCACCCTTTTCTCCGTCTCCGGAGACTTGATGATGTACACGCTGTGCATCCAATCAAGAGAGTTGTTGCTCCCGCAGCACTTGAACTGCAAGATGAATGAGGGACTTAGGATTACTTTACAATTAGGATCAGTGCACAAAGTGGTCCAGTATTTAATGCATATCTGCACTATTTTGTTCATAGTAGTGATTTTACATTACGTTTAGGGACAGTATATTGTGTAGCTCATTCAGTTTAAACAAAAAAAAAAATTTAATATAATAAAATTTAAAACAATATTAACTTAAAAAAATAAAATAAACATTAAATTGACATATTTAATTCTTTAATTTTATGTATGTTATAACATACATAACAAAAAACAAAATAAACAAATGTAATAGGAAAAATTAAGTAAAAACATATTACATTAAAATAAAATAATATTAAATAAAAACTAAATAAAAATATTAATATGATTGTTTTTACATGAAATAAAAATATGAAATTAAAACAAAATAAAGAATGTTAAATTAAAAAAAATATTAAATTAATTTTTTTTTTTTAAATAAAAGCAAAATAAAATAAAATACTTAAAAATAAAGCTACTGGCACTGAATTTTCTACTTCTAGAACTGATTAGGATCATTCACATTCTGTTACCATCTCACAAAAATTGAAAAAATGTAATACAATATAAAATGAATTTGCCCAAGCCACATAATCTTGTCTTTAGTCTCTAATCTAAGAAAATAAAAGGCTGGGATTTGGAGTTTCTCACATCCTGCTGTAGTCTGTCCACAGACTGAGTGATGCTCTCTTTTCCAGGTTGGGCATAGTTCTCTGTCATCGTCTTGCTCAAGTGCTCCTTCAGCTCTTCACTCAGCTGTGAGAGACAGAGAGAAGAGAAAAAATGGAGAGAAATGAACAAAAATAAACAGAGAGTGAGCAGAAGGCAGTGTCATTACTCAAATGTCTCATCTGTGCCAGTCCGGAACAGCCCTACAACTAGATCCATCATTAAAGCAATTGGGAGTTAGTTCTTTAGAGCTTTGTTTTTATAGCAATACTGACTAAAATTTTTTACTCACCGCCTGGTAATAAACATAAGCCAGAACACCAGCCACCAGCTCAATGATGAAGATCAGAAGCAGACAGGAGAAGTACTGTAAGAAGACAGGATACAAATACAATTAATGCAAACAAAATGATCTTTATCAGAAAACAGGAAAACAGTCATTGCCGCTCTAGATATACAGTACTATACAAATTATAAAATGCTGATGTCATAATAATCCATGGGAAGCACATATAAAATATAATAATTCCTATTATTCTCATTATTTCAGGAAGTCATGAATGTCAAGGGGACGTTTGTGGTTCCACAACTAAAAAACATATTAATTCGTAGAAAAATGAACTGTAAAAATGTAAAAACAAATTAAATTAATTACATACTTAAAAAAAGCAGAATAGCATCAAAACTATTCAAAACAAAATGATGCAAGAGATTTTTAAATAAATAAATTTAAGCCATCTTGAATTTGTTTAACTAAATGCTACAATATCACCTAGAAGCAACAAACTCACAGATCTTCATTTGCCTTTGTCTTTTTTTTCAGTTTAAATGGCTTCTCTACAAGAAACAGCACATCAGCACTCAAAATGCTTCAAAATATAACAATGTTTGGACTGTCATGAGGATAAAGTAAATAAAATAGTTTTTTTTCCAGAAATGTCTTGTTTAGAGCTGGCAGAGGTGGAGACGTCTGCCTGACAAACGAAAATAAAAGACACAGTGGCATTTTCCTCAGAGGAAAATAAAACAATAAATGACTAAACCAGAGAAGCTGTCACAGTTTACAGTGGGGGGAGAGCGAGTGGGTGATAACAATCACAAATCTGCCACAAAACATGTTTTCAGGGAAATATTTTCCGTGGCACAATTAAAAACAAACCGACCAACAAACAAAACAATGTTTTCAAGATTATACATAACTCATACTCACCAAGCCTTTGTGCATACTTTGTGCCACTGATGTCTATTATAATTGCCAAGTGAGTATTGAAGTTGAACTGAACAGTCTGTTCAACTTTAGTTTCCATCACTAATCAGCAGAGTTAAATGTAAGCAAAGAACAGAAATGTTCACATCAAATCATGCGCAGAGGACACTGTAGACCGAACCACAGACAGACGTGTGTGAGAGATGAATAAACTCACATAGTGTATATACACATCCACGCCGCACTTCTCTTCTAGAGGTCGAAAGAAAGGACAGGAAGTCCAATGTAATTTATATAAACACCAACACGAGCACTGAAGCAAATGAAATGAACCTATTCAAGGTTATTCAAACAAATCAACAGCTGTTAACCTTACGCCAGCTGTCGCATGTTGACATTTATGCATATATGTTTTTTTTTCCCAAAATGCAATGCATTCAGATCAGACCAGAAAGGCAGTATCCTCATTACTAATTCCTACCGAGGTTGGCGCTCCTCCGTAGATTCATACATGGAAGCGAGAGTGGGCTATAAATAGCACTGCTGCAGTGGCAGTCACAACCTTGCTTGTCTCTTTCACTCCCTCGAACAAACACAAGGTACTATCTTTTTTTTTTTAAATGGCGAGAAAGCACATGCCTGTCAGGTCATTAGTCACGGCTGCCATGGAGCCTGGTCTACTTTGTCTGTGGACACTTGGTACCGCCCCCCTCAACTTACAGCCAATAACTGAGTTGACCAAAAAAAGACTAGGAACTAAAGCATTTACATCTAATGAGTGAAGCACAATGGATAAATTGGCGCAACTGGCAAAATTATGACCTCTTAGTGTGGTCTATCACATTCATTTCTTCTTCTCACCGTGGAGAGACAGCTCCTCTGCTCACGTATGACGGCACAGCAACCCAAGAACCCGGTGACCATCACCAGCCCCCCGGCCAGGATCAGGATGTAGGCGGACACGGCGAATGTACTGGAGGCCAGCAGGCTCAGGTACTCTCCTTTATCCACCAGCGTCCAGATCCCAACACCCATCACCACCCCGCCGCCCATCTGAAAGACAGAATAACTCATCACAGGATATCACAGTGCTCCTGCTAATACACGAAGTTCAGAAGGGGACAAATAAAATGAAATCAACCTTTTAGAACTCAAACATTAATGTATATACATTTTAATTTTAATTAAATTAAATGTAAAGTGCCTCTATAATGTTTGTGAATCTAAAAGGTCTGGAAAGTTTCAAAGTTCACGATAAATGGAGTTATTGTCTCCCAAAAGAAAGAACCAATTCTGAATTGTAATCTTACTTTCTGCAAAAACCTAAGTAGATTTATAACAGATTTGCATAATGCCAGCCTATGGTCTTCATTGGCTACCGACAAACAACGTCAACTTTGACCCGCCCTCAAACACTGTAGTTGTAGCTGAGGACTGGAAGAGTTTGGTGTGTGTTGTCGGCGGCACTGGTAGCCTATCAATTCTTATTATAGGCACCTGGGACACAGGAAGTCCTGAGTTTCTGGGGTCATTAACTACGACTTTAATTATTATTTTGAACTAATTTATTAAGGTGTTATTACATTCTGATGGGGATATTGAGCCTGTCAGGATGTGGTACCACTTATTTGATACTACGCTTAAACCCTTCGGATGAGATATTAAACCGAGATTCTGACTTTCTGGGGTCATTAACCTCTTTAATAGTTATTTTGAAGTCATTTATTAAGGTTATAGTACATTCTGATGGGCATTTTAAACGAAGCTCCCTGAAGAACTTAAGGTGTGCAAGAGCAAATCCACTTTGCTTTCAGGATTCTGGCTCGAATTTATACAGTAAAACCAAGCAATTGTTACTATTCATATCAATGTATTGTATATACACTGATGAAGCCTCTCAGCTGAAATACAGATATGGAATTCCTAATGGCCGTTTGGCTTCCTACACACGCTGTAAGTGGTCGACCAATCACAAAAGACTGGGCCATCTGACCAATCAGAGCAGAGTAGGCTCTCGGAAAGGAGGGTTGAGAGAGAGACCGAATCCTTTATCGAACGTTTCAGACACAGTGAGAAAAAAGGTGATGCTGCAATGTATGTTATGAGAAAGTTAAAGTGTTTTTGGACCTTGGATGCATGTGAACCTCTTGTAAGAGACCTCCAAAACAAAATCAGGCTTTTAACATATTTTTAATAAACTTTTTGACTGTTTTTCCAACACATGTGGAAAGTGGAACTGAGGGGGAGCATTACATTAAAAAATTATGTGACCCCTTGGATGACAGCAAAAACATTTTTTAAAGTCTTCAAATTAAAGACAAACAATTATGAAAACTCTAGGATTAGACAGATGGCTGAGGACAAACAATGGTGTCATAGAAGCTGGAGTGAGAAAATAATGGAGTTAATGATAGATATCAAACTAAAACTCCTGTTTCAATTGATAAACAACTATTTCACGTTGTTTGACAGGCTTGTCATTATTTAACCAACTCAAATAATCATTAATTTACCCTGAGATTTCAGCACAGGTTAATTATCCACCTGTGTGGTGTTGTGCATGGTAAACACTCCATTAATCTATGCACATACAAAGGAATCCACACTATCCGCTTTTTCAGATTGATCCAAGTCGGATGCAGAGGCAATCAACACTCCCTTCAACACTCCTTGTTCTTTCCTTGTCATTCTCCAGTGCCAAACTCAAACAACAGATGTTCCAGACTCCCATTGTCTTTCATGCCCCCTGAGCTACTTGCATACCACACACAGTGAGGACTTTGTGTTTGAGAGAGAAACTGTGTCTATACAAAAGTTCTGCACTGAAGGAATCACTACAGTATATACTGAATATATTACAGAGGTTATGCTTTAACGTAATAGTTCACCCGAAAATAAAAATGAGTCATTACTTACTCAACCATGTCGTTTCAATCCCACGTGACTCTTTTTTCCCATGAAGCACAAAAAGTGATATAATGAAAGTGTGTAAGATACAGACAGAAGTACGTATGGACCCCTTTTATGATGCTTTTATGGTGTTGAAGCTCTAAAGCATTGTAATTGCATAATTTCTCTTTTTGTGTTTTACAGAAGAAAGAAAGCAATACAGGTTTGGAACAACACGAGGGATAGTAAATGAGGACTGAATTTCTGAGGACAAAGTGGATAAATGCACAGGATTGTGCAGTCTGGTTGAAGGTGTGGTTTCTGACTCATTTCCTGAACTTCTCTTCTCGTCCAGGATTTATGAATCTATTTAATGCAGAGAAGTGCCTACAAAGATCAATTCAATGAAAGGATACTTTTTTTTCTCCATTCAGATTTACTCATGTTTTAAAGAAACAAATTCAACCCTAGAGGGCGCTGTACTTGTTGAGCTCAGGCAGTGGGTGGGAAGAGGAAATGAGAGGGGGAAGAGAACAAGAGAAGGAATAATGGGACAAGACTCAGATTTAAGTTATGAAACCATCTTCCCTGCACTTTTTCATTCACGTACACACTTCCATCGCCTTGTTACATCTCTCATCACAACTGATATTTAATAAGAATGCTGCCTAAAACAGAATCTGGAAACATTCTCCTAACACCACTGTTTAATGCATGACAAAGTTGAAACTTTTTTCCCCTCTGAACAACATGCATTATTCATTATAAGACCAGAAATGTGTATTGAGAAAGTACATTTTGATTTCATGTTGGTGTTTCATGTTAAACACAGCACATTTTGCATGTTGCATGATAGTTATCCAAAGGGGTTTAAATACCAAAGCGGATCTCAGACTCACCCAGAACAGGAAGTTGAAAACAAAGAGGAGGTATTTGAGACACACTGTGACCCAGTCGTCCTGCTCATCCTTATACATGCTGCCCATCTTTTCTGTTGGAGAGAAGAAAAGAAATGGAACACAAAATGAGTTCTCATGAAGTGGTGGATGTTCACTTTGTCAAAAGGACAAAGAGGAGGAGGTGGGCAGGAGTGTAAACAGGCTTTTGGAAAGATGGCAGTCAAACACTGTTCTTTTCCATGACATGTTAATTAACAGCTGTGGCCCATGGGTTTCTGCCACAGACAGACGACACGCTCCATCTCAGGGCCCAGTGTGGAGGCGTCGCGTGTCAAAACAGCAGCCATGTATGGCCGATAAAATGAGGGTGTTTGGTTTGAAATGGTGGCAAGCACAACAAAACTACACACACAATCCAACCCATTCGGCTGGTTTTAGAAATCCCGAGGACACCGAATGCAGCACCAGATTGGAAAGGTGACTGACATGTTCTGTTCCAAAACACAACATTTGACTGCAGACTTTGGTTTATAAAAAAATCCCTGCTATAATGGGCTTTTTTGCCTAGATTTTCACTGTAGGACCCATCGATTTCTTTTGGATACAGAGGCATAAAGAATTTGTTCAGAACGACTGTGGGGACATATTGATTTGCTGATCACGTGATGTAAATGTATGGAGAAAGCCCTTGCTTTGTGTCAGTAAAGTAATCACTTAAAGTGCTTTTTCTTAAAGGGTCATCTACCTGTATTGAGCAGTAAATAAAGATTATTTATGATCCTGACTCCAAATGCAGACATAAGTATACCACTAAATTGGAATTATGATAGTAGAAAATAATGTTTTATTCATTGCATTTGCATTTATTATTCACCTCATTGTGAAGGTCTGCCTGATAAAGACAAACTATCCTCTTATCCACTCTGTTGATAGACCAGTGGCTTTGGCTGGGATTTGAGACACATGCAGGCTTTGTGTTGTTATGGGTTACTACAAGTATTCAAAGAAGTGTTTCAAGAATTTTAAGTAAGCCTGGTCTTCTTATATACTCAATATACTGATTTTTTTTTTACTCCATTATGAAACCACAATTTTAAAAAGTGTCTTTATTGAAAGATTTAATGGTTATTATTGAAAACATAAAATAAAACACATGATCAAAAGTAGGCCTAATGTGTCATGCAGGACTTCCTTTTATTATTTTGCAGCAATCTTTAAAGTGATATGTTTAATATATTTTTGGTGACTTGCTGGTCTCTGGCAGGTTGTAGAAGGGGTTTCGGCAAGCAGGGTAGGCCTACTGTCTTCTTGAATATAATGTAGACATTCACTGTAATTTATGTGGTAATAATTTAGGCCTACGTTTTACTTAAACCCCCCCCCCCCCCGATTTAAACAGTTAATTACCAAATACTAGGCCTACATATTGTCCAATTAAACACATTTATATTAGAGTAAGTAGGCTATATTATAGTACTTTTTCGTCAAAACTAGCATTCTTAAACATCATCAGGTAGATATTTAAGGTTAAAGGAAGCGGAAAACCTTTCTGAGGTCTATTTCGACCGCGTTTCACTTTCGCTCTCTTTCCTCACAGTGTTCAGGGGAGTTTGTTGTGGTTTCCTCGCCAACAAACTGACACGCCAATCGATTCAAAAGCCACGGATGCGATGTTACTAAATACCGCATGAAATTACTCCTCTGAGCATTTAAATAATTAAAATTCACGTTATTATGCTCCTCCTTCAACACCCCACATACAATGAAAGCAATGGTGGTTGCCCCGAAAAAAAGAGGACAATGTTGATTCAATGCAGACGATTCTCTTTCTTTCCTCCCCCGTACTTTATAGATACTTTCCGCAAAGCGCATCGCGCAGTTGCATTGCGCGTCCATAAACATAAACAAATCAAAACTGCGTGGTGTCATGTAGCTACGCTCTATTTTTTTTTATTATTTTTTTTTTTAATAAAACCTTCTGCTCTTATGCCGTGTTTGGGACAAACACCAAAGTCACTTTCCATTGCTTAAAGAGAAAACATCGTGTTTAAACTTACCGTAACAGCAGATTGCGGTTGTTTTCCCAAGCGAGGCTTGTTGCTCCGGACTCCGTAGGCGTGTGTCCAGTCGGAGCCGGAGGGTCAGCGCAGGATGTGAGCAGGAAATGCTACTACAGCCCGCCCCTTCATTTCATGAGATTAAATACAGCGAGCTGTTCGTCTTCAAAGGCTGCCCGTGAACTGAATAACTGTTATTAGTGCTTTTAAGTAAGTTGCCATGTCTCATTATGTGAAAAAAAAATCAATAATTTTTCTCTCCTGGGATGGGATTGAATTTGAACTGGACTCTGTTGTCTGCAAAGGCTGTTGAATAGGCTCCTGTAAATAATCGTATTCGTTTTAACAGAATTCTACTGTAAAAACCTGCTGACTCCAAAAATGTTTAGGCCTACATTTAAGAATTAGCCTCTGTATTTGAATTGCATGAATTTCCATCCATTTGGATTACTTAGTTCTAGCATAAACAAATAAACAATAATCTTTTCCTTTCTTGTTTCATTTATGTATGATATGCATAAATAAACAGGTAAATATGCATCAGATGAAGTTTATTAGTTTATGTTAAAACTGCTTCATAAGAATTGATGGAAGTTTTATACTTTAAATAGTACATAAAGAGTAAACGTAGGTCTAAATATGTTTAAGCGTTATCTTTTAAATAAATAAATTATTTGATTTGCATAATCAGATTACTTTTTTCAAGTAACGAGTAAAGTAACGCATTACTTTTATATTTACAACAAAATACCTGAGTTAGTTTTCAAATAAGTACAGAAGTTACTTTGTTTTTCCATTTATTGACTCCTCTCTTGTCCCCATATTGAGAGAAATCGGGACAAAGAGGTGTTGTGCGCTATGTGAACATGATGGTTATTGTACTAAATATGAGAATGCATTTACTCATGTGCACAAAAACAGATTCTGTATTCCTAAAAATGAATACAAATAGTAATATAAAAAATTAATGCAAACTCAGAATATAACGCAAAACCTGCAATAATAAAAATATGTTGAATACACTTTATGTATTTAATCTCACTTTATTAACCACTGCTGACATTCTTCTGCAACCCAGAGTGGCATCACAATTAAAAGGTTTGTTTGAGCTGTGCAGCGTGAATTTATATTTCCTTCAGCCAGAAGCTTATTCATTTCATTTCTGGTGTAAAGGGGCCTTTACATTTGCCAAAAATATGACTTATAAACAGAGATGGACAGTAACAAAGTACATTTACTTGAGTACTGTACTTAAGTAGGCCTACACTTTTTGAGTATCTGTACTTGAGTATTATTTTTTTCTAGAAATTTTTACTTTAACTTCACTAAATTTGAAAGGCAAATATCGTACCTTTTACTCCACTACATTTCTGTCAAGGTCCTTGAGTAGAAAGTAGTAACGTCAGTCAGGGGATGGTTTTGGTTGCAGGGGTTGCATTTTGGTTGGAAATGAAAGTCAGATTGACGTCATAACCCGACGTCAGGTTGACGTCAACAGTCAACATCCTACGTCGGATAGACAACTTGTACTTGTAACGGAGTAATATTTGACCAGTAGTATCTGTACTTTCACTCAAGTAAGGGAGTTGTGTAGCTACTTTGTACACTTCATGCTTAAACAAACAAGCAAGCCCAGCCCAGGTGAGAAAAAGTAACTCAAAAGTAATGTATCTAATGCTTTACTTTTCATAAAAACCTTTTTAGGAAGTAACGCAATATTTGTAATGAATTACTAAAACGTGATTTTAGTCTAAAAATATATATTTTTAAATGTAGTAGAAAGTAGAAAAAATAAAGTAGAAAGTAAATGGGCTTATAATTTACAAGAAGTTGTAAAAGTAAAAAGCATCTTATATCAATGGGCATTCCCAGAAAAAACTTTGAGCATCTTAACAAATTAAGAATTTTTTTTTACGTTGTTCATGTTTATAGCATTATTTTAGAGCCACGTGCAATTTGCATCTTCTTTTAATTATTTTAAGTAGGCTACGATCTGTCAATTTCCCCCAGATGTGATGAAAGCCAGGAAAGCAGGGACAAAATTACGCTTGCAATGCATCTCAATAATTCACTTTCACATAATCTTTCACGATATGGAAATAATACTGACAGTTTCTTGATGCATGCTGCTCGACTTTCAGTTGACTCTCCGTTCAAACTTAAACTGCCCTTTTGCACACAGAAGTTCCTCTGTGCGCATTTCTCTTTCAAATCCCAGTAACCTAATAAAGCCAAAACCCCATTAGGAGAACACACGCCGCCATATGCCAGCGGATATGAGCCGCAGTCACCTGCCTGTGACACAGTTTTCTGAAACAGCGTTAGAGAGGAAAACGTTATCTATCATGTCTGAATTAATGAAAAGAGTCTACTGAGACAGCGACAAAGCCACTTAAAGTGAGAAATGTCATCGCTAATCTTCTGGCTCTGTTAGGTCTCCTAATGGAAATGAACACAAACTCATTGAATATGAGATTTGAGTTCTGCATCTTCTATCTCTATTTTTCCTGATAAAACGTCTGTTGATTGACAATTGACTGCAAAGTTTTCATTCAGGGAATCAAATCTGAGCCACATCAGATGGAAAGAAAAGATGACATTAACAATGCAGCAGATGACAGAGAACTTTGAAAAGAAACTCAGCCTATTGAACTGTTTATCCTTTTGAATTTGACTCATTGTGATTCCCGCCTGGTTCTGTCTGGTTTTCTCTGCCGCTCCCCATATTTTATTGTTGTGACCGACAACAAGGCCAAGGACCATCCTGCTGTTTTAGGACCTTTTCAACACACAGATAAAGACTTTCGACCAAAAAACAAACCATTTCTGTTTGGTCATTAAAAGAATTCTCAAAAAAAAAATATGTGCGATTGAAAGACTATACTTGACACAAACTGTCTCAATCCCAGAAACAGTGTTATGGAACTTCAGAAAAGAATTCATGTTTTGCTTTCTCCTGGATATGTTTTAAGCCTGTGTGTGTGTGTGTGTGTGTGATTGACAGTGTATGGTGTTGTGGTGCCGAGTGTGTGGTATTACTCAGCATGCGTGGGCAACCGTCCTTCAGTGTGTTATACATGAGCAGCCCGTGTGTTGGAAGTCCTCTCAGCAGGATACAATAGAGCATACCTTTATTTCGGTCTGGTAGATCACACCACGAGCTCCATTACTGTGAGTGCTCTGATTGAGTTTGTTTATCCTGTTGACATTTCAGTGCTGGGAAAATATGATTTTCATTGATGACCCTTGCTAATTCCTCATGTTTTCAAATATTTAGCTGGATAGAGAGGATATTGGCCTTAAAACTCATACATGAGTGTGTTTGTGTGTGTGTGACAGAGAGAAATGGAGTATGTTCTGACCAGGACTGCCTCCCACATTAGCTCCAGGGATTACACAAGCAGATCAGTGGGTGGCATGTAAAAACAACGAGGAGGCCGTTGTTCGACTCCAAAACTAGAATCTCACACATTATAGATACATGTGAACTCAAACCACATGTGAGCTTAGATTGGCACAGGCAACAGCTGTTGGTAAAGTTTCGTCTGTGGTAACCGTATGAATAAAGATTTCCTGCAAAATTTATTGGGGCAGGGTATTGTGCTGCAAACATAAGACAAATTACCATATATCAATGGTTGTGTATACATAGGCTATGTATGTTGCCAAAAAAGCACAATGAAGCAATACAATGAAGCAAATCCAATTAGGATAAAATGTTAAAATAATGTTTATCAGTTCTCATAAGATTAGCTTAAATCATGAAGTATCATAAACACTTGAATGACTACTTTGTGGCTTCATGAGAAATGGCTGAAATAATTGTGACAAATGAAAAGTTCATTGCATTTAGTTATGTTTTATATCTTGGGTCTTTGAGACCCCCAAATAAGTAATGCAATATATTTTTCATAAGGAACATTTAACAATAATCACGTTATTAAGTTTGAAATTTAAAATTTGTGGTGAAAACGAGGAATATTCATCAACCTGAATACTTGCGTTAGCAACGCCAAGGTCATTGGTTAAGATGTAGCCTATGCTTTGAATGTAAAGTAATAATGGCTTTGAATAAAAGCGCCTGAGCAGTGCAAAAGTACATGTTTGTCTGAAAAGTTACAGCCTTGAAATGGATTGAAAGCCTTGTGTCCTTTATTTGGAGAAAGTGGAGGTGCGATACTTATGTGGGAGGCACTAATTCAGCCACTGATATCGCTCCAGTTCTGCACTCGCTGCGCTCGAGTTCAGTCAGCACAGTCTTTCAACTCCAACTTTCAGCGCGAACCAGACGCACTTGACTGACCACAACGCGACCAAGCTAGGATTCGATGACTTAATGCGAACTGAAAAACAATGGATCATCGTGTTAAACTGAAATAAAAGATGCGTTCTGATCTATCAGGCTATAGGTAACGCGGCGATGCGCAGCGGCAGGTGATGTGGATGCTGACGCGTCGTGGCTCAACTGGTCTCCAAGTGGCGCTTAGCACCTCTGGAAGAACTTTTGCGCGATGGGCTTTCAGTAGGAGTCGGAACCATGGAGTTAAGGGACTATCTAAGAAGTCTTTATGACATATTCCCTATTAGTTCCATTTTAGGCATTTATTGTTTATTTAACACAACTGTGCAAATTAACAAATGTGTCGTTTTAAAGCGCAAACCGAGAATTGCTTATTGCTGCATGTTTTAAAACTTTTATAGGACATTTAGTGCCGATACTTGCCCTTATCTAGTTAATCCGGATCCCGTTGGCTCGCATGGGACTGAGGCACTCATCGCGGTGCCTGCTCCTGCGGAGAAAGATGGCGGATGCGGAGAGCTCGGAGGTAAGTCAAAGATTCCTTAAGTTGTGCATAATGCATCAATGCTCGTCCAAACATTCATGTGCACACTTGTAAATCGCATGTGATTAATTCTAGTCGCTTATGTGTGCTTAAGTGCATGATCGCGTAAAATGACGCGCTGTTTTGGAGGTCATACAAATCAGTGCCCGGTGATGTGTGACTATGCAGGGTAAAGAACAGCGAGATCCAGAGCAGAACACGTCCAGTTCCCTCGTCCTGAAAGAATAGCGATCACACAACACACCAAATGCTAATTATAGAGGTTTATAGGCTATCAAAATGTATGCTGCGCGTAGGTTGCATAAAGATTAAGCGGATATCTGATGCAAGAAGCCTTTTATAAACTCGAACACAATAAATAAGCCTAAATTTGTACCTATACGAAAAAGCAAGACATTAAAGTTAGTCGTGTGCGTGCTGAATAGCACTCAATTCCTCTTTTATATAGTCTATTGGGTCATCGAGAGACGCCTGAGCGCTGTCCTTGGTGCTGCAGTATTTGCCCCCCCCCCCCCTTTTGCATACCTGATTTAAACGTCGACGTTGATAATTAGTTAACTAAATATTAGAAGCGCTGAAAAGCAAGGTAAAAAAAATCACAAGGTGAAACACATTTATGTTCCTTAGTCCATCTTCTACACGTAGCCTATTTTTACAAAACTGTTTTGACATTATATTTATTTATCACATGAAAAAAATACCTTGGATCATCAAATCAAAGATAAAAATAAATAAATACACAGAGAATATCATAAGTCTTTACAATATTTAGTTTTATTCAATGTCATTTTTTTCTGCAAATGTGTTTTTTCAAGGTATTTTTTTTATTACTTTCAATAAATAAATGAATACATTGTTCTAATAGCTCAAACCGTAGGACATAGCAATACCAAGGTCATGTGTTTGATTCCTAAAGATTGCATAAACTGATTAAATGTATACTTTGAACACATTATGAGTTGTTTTAGATAAAAAAAAAACATAATTACACTCACTGAATCCAATAAGTGGTTATGTAGGACAAAGAGCCATTGCAGATTATTTTACTGTTGACTTTCCCAGCAGCGCCAGCAGCATCAGCAGCATATTTCCAGTGTTCCCTCGTCCCAGGCCATGCAACCTTCTCCGCTACCAAAGCCAGTGACCTCCGTTCATCATGTTCCACACCCCCCGCACACCCCACATGTCTCTGCACTGTCCGCCTGTCCGGGACGAGGCAAAATGGCCAAGCTACTCAACCCAGAGGAGATGACATCCCGGGATTACTACTTTGACTCCTATGCCCACTTTGGAATTCATGAGGTAATCGAAGGTCCAGTTCGGATGGCTTTACCATCTAGTATGGGAGTTAGTGGAGTATGCTAGTCTAAGATGAAAATGTTATCTTGTTCACTATCAAGGACAGGAAGATGTTTCTGCTAAATAACTTTTATTACGCGCAGCTGATGATAAGAACATACTTACATTTGTCACTGAAACGCTTTTACCTCATTGAAGAAGAAGTGAGAGAACACCTTTGATACCGGCACATTTAGAGCATGAGGGTCAAATTGGATCTGTCTGCAGATAAAAGAACACTTCTTGATAACACACAGAAAAAGAAGGACAAGAGTAAGAGGGAGAAAGAGCGAAAGAAAAGGAAAGAGAATTGGAGCGGGGGGAGGGGGTGCTTGGGAAGATGTGTATCAGTTAATCCCAGCAGGCTAAATGGAGACCTGTCTCTATAAAAAGAATCCTGGAGACACTGCGCTTTGTGTCCTATATATTGTCCTCCATAGCACAGTCCAAGAGAAAAGGTCCAGAAATGAGGGATAAAAGTCATGGACTCTAAGGACATCTCACATGCATAAGTCAAGTATGTGCAGCCATATACCAATCAATTATTTGGGAAAATGAACACAGCAAGGGTTGTCAAAGTAAAGACAATTATAATGTTATAAAATTCTATTTCTTTTTAACTTTCTATTTGGTAACACTTCATTTTGATGGTCCCTTTTAGACATTCTGTTGACTTTAAGTAACTTTGCAAGTGCATCAGCTTATTCTACTAACGCGAACCCCTTATTCTACTTACCCTACCCCTAACAGTTTACTAATACTCCAATGAGAGTTAGTTGACATGTAGGTGCAACGTTGCTTATAGTCAACAGAATGTCTAAAGGGGACCATCAAAATAATCTATATATATTTTCTACAGTTTATAACTTATCTTTTCTCTCAAAAGGAAATGCTAAAGGATGAGGTGAGGACACTAACTTATAGGAACTCCATGTACCACAATAAACACATCTTTAAGGATAAGATTGTTCTAGATGTGGGCAGCGGAACCGGAATCCTCTCCATGTTTGCTGCCAAGGCAGGAGCCAAGCATGTGTATGGGGTGAGGACTCAAATTACTCATTCCAAGTGTGTTTACTGTCATATACAATAGGTTTGAGTTAGAGGGCAACATGCAGGCTTTACTTTACTGCAGATCTGACTCTTTTTTACACTCACAAACTATATCTATGAATATCTGGAGAGAAAGAGTGGGAGTGTGTGCTGATAATATCAGTAGTGTTACTGTGTTTCTGGTCTGTATTAGATAACACTCCATTGATCCACCCACTAGGTCCAGTTCTAGTCGCTTATCTTTCATATGCCACAATAAACAAAAGAGGTTTCTGTTTCTGTCCGGAGCACGGATGCATATAAGAAAGGGTTCACAGTTTTATAGACATTTAAAGTTAAACTTGAAGTTATGCATAAAAAAGGGTTCCGTCTGGCTTGAGTCAGCTAGCATACCTCTAATACGGTTCTTGCTAAATATGCTAATATAATTAAGCTAATTTTCATTTTGTTTTGTAGATTGAATGCTCCAGTATATCAGAGTATTCCGAAAAAATCATCAAATCAAATCACCTGGACAATGGTAAGACATCCTGCTGCTCATTCCTGTTTGGACACAGCACAGTGTTTCGGTCTGATCTTCATTCTTGTGTGGAATAGAAGAGTCATACATTTTCCTCTAGGCAAGTGGAGTTCCACGACACAGGAAGTAGCATAGTCACTTCCTGTAGCTGACACTCTCCACTTGTGGTGTGATGGCAGAAGTTGTTGTTTAGTTGTCCACAGCAGCTCTCATTAACACTGGAGAGCAGCGGGCGGGCGAGAAGCCATGAGTCAGTGTGTGAGAGCAGTCACACACACACACACACATGGAAATTGGAGATTGGCAAACTGCCTTTTGCAAAATGGGAATAACGGAGATGATGAGAGAAAAAAAGAGGGAGGGAGAGATAACCATGAAGAATCCAATCAATCAAATGTAACTTTATATTGTCATTCTTGTGACATTCTTATAATTCTTGTGTGTAAATGCTGGGTTCTTAACCCATTTGATTCCTGCAATGTGACATTTATGAATGAAACAAAACAAAAAAGTCAGGTGAGACTTGATTTTATCCATCAGGAATTGTAATATTTTTTAATTTTATTGTTATAAATATATTTATTTAGAACAAAATCTCTCGCTCTCTCTCTCTCTATATACAAATAATATATTTAATTGTACATTACATAGTATAAAATAAGCTAAATTCAAGCCTCACTGTCTCTTCTCTATTTTTTGTGCATCTTGCAGTTATTACGATCATTAAAGGGAAGGTGGAGGAGACTGAACTGCCCGTGGATCAGGTGGACATCATCATTTCAGAGTGGATGGGCTACTGTCTTTTCTATGAGTCTATGCTCAATACTGTCATCTACGCCAGGGACAAATGGCTGGTCAGTGTGTGTTTGTCTGTGTGTGTTGGCTGTCTCAAGGCCAAGGTTATTTGACTAATTAGAATGTGAAACGTGTGTCCATGCTGAAAACGATCATTTATAAATGGGAATGAGTGGCTTGTCATTGGGCTGCTGATGAATGTCTACCACTGAATGACAATTTGGTCCAGAGGACAAGTGGCTTGTTAGAGATTTTTATAGAACCATTGTGTTGGTGCCAGTACATTGTTTCACCCTAGAGTTATTTTTATGGTGCACTGAACAGGAAGGAAAAGAAAGAAAGATGTGAAGTCACTGGAATAATTGGAATATAATCACGCATATGCCAGGAATGCATTTTTGTAAATTAAAATGTTATATGAGGGTAGTTGAGTTTAAATTTCAAACTGTTTCAGCAGTGTCTACTTTAGATAATAATTACATAAAAAAATAAATTATATAAATAATTATTAAAACTATTATATTATATTTAAAGCTATCTTTTGACCTGATATGATTTATATATTTATATTAAATTTATATTAAAGTATTTAAAATATTTTAGATAATAATGATATATTATATAATTTAGATAATTATATTATATTATATTATTGTGGTTAATATTATTATGGTGTTTTATGACCTATTATGTATACTTCTACTATTAATAATAAAACTTGAACTTACAAAAAAAATAAGTTGGACATCCGTCAACAACCCATACATTTTCATAGGTGATTTCTGAAGATTTTCTTTCCTGTCATTTTTCAGAAACCTGGCGGTTTCATGTTTCCAGACAGAGCGACATTGTATGTGGTTGCCATTGAGGATCGACAGTACAAAGACTTCAAAATCCACTGTGAGCGCGCACACACACACACACACACACACACACACACACACACACACACACACACACACACACACACACACACACAGCCATGAGGCAACTACATGTCCTGTATTAAATTACCTTTTATACTGTATCTCTTTGGTTTCCTCACATTTATTTAGCTTAAAATTCCTGTTGAGCTCCATTACTCCCCCGCAGCAAAACGTTTGCTTTTTCTCCTTCCCTTTGACTCCCTCCTTCATGTTTTGGATGAAAGTATGAGATTCTCCTCGGCCTAACACTCATGCGATGGGATGTAATCAAATGCTGCCAGACACAGAGGAGGCAGGAGTCTATTTTAGGTCCAAATGAAGACTCCCAGACACAGCCACACAGATTTTCTACTTTTCAGACACAAGCGAGTTTTAAAATGTCTTAAAATATATTTTCTCTGTGGTTGCAGGGTGGGAGAACGTCTATGGTTTTGACATGACGTGCATTCGGAACGTTGCTATGATGGAGCCCCTGGTGGACATAGTAGACCCTAAACAAGTCGTGACCAACACCTGCCTTGTTAAGGTACGAGTATGTGCTCGCCTCTCTCTGTATGTATATGTGAGCAAGATCAGATTTGAATCATACTGATGGACCCGTGCGATAGGCTACTATGGAAGACATGTAGTGGGGGTGTTACATAACAGAACAATTCACAGTAACGTGCCGCCTGATGACAGCGTGCAACGTGTGTTCATCTCAACACGCAAACACCAATCATTCATTTAAATTAGCAGGGCAGAAATAAGTCCTCACGAAATATAATGCTAATAATATCATTGTGTAGGTCATTTGAAGCCTTGTTTATAAATATAGAATTATCCCTTAATAAAAGTGTATTATCCCATACAGTAGGAAAGATTTCTTTACTGTGTAAGGTTGTTTCACCTAAACAGGAATGCGATTAAATTGATAATATAATACAAATAATAATTATCAAAATGAAATATTAATTCTAAATGTATTAACTCTCAAAGTATTTGCTATGCTTATCTATATTTCTATACCCATAACTAGTCTTAAGATGACTGTATAAAGATGAAACTTAAGTGAGAGAGAACTGGTTGCTGTTTTAGAGTTCGGGAGATTTAAATGAGATCTATGAGCATTAGGCTTCAGCAAAAAAGAAAAAAGAGTTTATGATCCTTTTGTCAGTGAAGACATATTGAATGTCAAAAGAAAAGAGACAATGTAAGGGACAGAGAGAGCTAGAAAGCAAGAAAGCAAGCAAGAAAGAAAAAAAGAAAGAAAGAAAGCAAGATAGCAAGAAAGCAAGCAAGAAAGAAAGCAAGAAAGAAAGCAAGAAAGAAAAGGCTGTGCTTTCAATGTGCCTCTGAATCACCTGCGGGATCAAACTCTTTGAAGAGGAGAATGATTTCGGCCTCTTTGTGAGGTTTATTAAATGAAAGGCTGAATTGAACAAATGAAAGGCTCAATGCTTCACTGATCTGTTGTTCACACAAAGAGTAAGAGGATCTTGGTTCACCGAGGCTGTTACTTGTGCCAACTTCTCTACTTATACAGGCAGCAGTAAAGCCACAGCCAAGCAATATAGCCTGAAACTGGATCTGTTGTGATGATGTATGGGTTAAGACTATATGACATAAACCACATCACACTTCAAGCTTAGATCACAGATGGCAGATCATCAAAGGACTTTGTTAGTGCAAGTATGTGGGCCAATCATAATCTCTATTTAAACATAATCTCTAAGTGTGAGACGGGACATATGGCTTTCAGGAGGTGGACATCTACACGGTGAAGCCGGAGGACCTGGCGTTCACCTCGGCCTTCTGTCTGCAGATTCAGAGGAACGACTATGTTCACGCTCTCATCACGTACTTCAACATTGAGTTCACCAAGTGTCACAAGAAGACGGGCTTTTCTACAGGTTCAGCCTTCTCTTATTCTGTGCCCAATTATCTCTTACAAATAAATCCAGTACTAACCGAGCCATTGTACATTCCCTTCCAGCCCCTGACGCTCCCAGCACTCACTGGAAGCAAACAGTGTTTTATCTGGAGGATTACTTAACGGTGCGGAGAGGAGAAGAAATCCTGGGAAGCATCACCGTCAAGCCCAACGAGAATAACCAGGTGAGGCTGGAAGTGTGTGTGGGGGTGGGAAATGGAGATGGAGAGAAATCGAACGTTTAGAACAGTGGGTCTCAACATTTTTGACTGCAAGATAATATTTGAATGCCCACCTAAGATATTCCTGGTAGGCCTACCTCTGCTGTTATAACAAAGCTTCTCATTTCCAAACTTATTTACAGAAACTAGGAGTAGCAATAAGTGTAAATCTGTTAATCACGATTAATCGCATCTAACATAAACGTTTGTGGTTACGTAATATATGTGTGTGTATATACAGTAGGCCTATATTATTATATTTATATATATATATATATGTCTGAGTCAAACATGTGTGTATATACACAGTATATACACACAGACATATATAAATATATTTACACACACATATATGTAAACAAACTTTTATGTTAGATGCGATTAATCGCGATTAACAGATTTGACAGCACTAGTAGCAATATATTACAACAAATAAAATAATTGAATTCCAGAATTCCTTAATTTTCAATAACTGAATGTTCTCCAGGGTTTACACTTTTTATTGTCAGTGAGTTTTAAAAATGATATTTTACTCACAAATAGCAATTTCTACCCAATAAAATATTTAATACAAATTTTCCACAACTTTTTATTAACTTCCATGGCTTTCTCAGGTCTAGAAATCATACTTTAAATTCCCTTGTATAACAAATCAAAATAAATTTGAGCTGTTTTAGCTTATTTTTTAACTTTCTTTGTCTTATTTGAAATCATTTTAAACCATCTTGGAAGTGTGCCCTCTAGTGGTTCTTGCCCTCCTTGTTGAAAACCACTGGTTTATAAACAAGTAGGAGGCAGATTTCAAAGAAATAAAATGACAAAAAAAGAACTTGATTTCTTTCAGCGTGACTTGGACTTCACCTTCGAGCTGGATTTTAAAGGGCAGCTCTGTGACGCAGCCATCTCTCATGACTACAAGATGCGGTAAAACTCGTGCGGCATCTTGAGTCGGGACACCGTTTCCCAGGGAGATTCGGTGGAGAGATGGACTGTGTCTCTCCTCTGCCTCTGTCTGGATAAGAGAGGCTGGCGAACCACAGGACCCTTCTGTGATGTCATCAGTGCGAGGCCAGCACTCAAGCAATAGTCACCGCGCGTCACGTTCTTAAATGCACGTAAAGAATAGACTGTGAAAACATCACTCTGAATGTAACTGTAAACGAGTCTGAGAATGTCAAAGTTTGTGTTTATTCAACCACATAAGATAGAAAAGTGTTAATGAACAGTATATGCCAATGTGAAATCGTACAATGCCTCATAGAACAAAGGCTTCAGTTTGGATGCATAAATGAAGAGTTTAGCTGATGTTTAAGTGCATTTTATTGTGTTATATTTATTGGGTTAGTGTTGAGTTGTTTAATATAGTGACCACTGGCATGTTTTCTGCCTTTGCTTTTATTTCAATTAATTCAGGCTTCACTAAGATTTTTCTAAAGAACCTCTAAGAGCAGCTAAACTATATTAAATCATCCTTATCAAATACAAGATTTGTTATTTTAGAGTAACTTTAATGTGAGAGTTTTAACCTAAGAATATTTTGGATTTGAGTTCTTGTTTAAATGTCAGATCCCTCTCACATACAACCTGTTTGAAGCACCTGTTTGATCCTTTGTGTAAAACAAGATGGTCACAGAACAGTTCAGATGAAGGAGGCACGACATGTTCGACACCGACTCCAGCCAATGTTCTTCCCTCAATAACATTGAAGATTTTAGTGCTTATTGATGTTGTCATCAACTGAACTGCAAACAGTTACCGAAAACACTTCTTGTTCTAGTAGAGAGGTTTTACTGGCCATTGTGAAATCTAGGTTTCATGATGCTAGTACTTTAGGTGGACTGAATGAGGCTATTGTAATGCTAAATAAATGGAAAGTAACAAACAATCACATTTTTTCCTAAATGACTTTGTTCTTTCCTGGTTGAATGTGTTTAGTTGGATGTAGTGCCAACTACACTTGTTTTACTACACTCCATTAAAAAAAGAATGGGGTTGTATTGTTAACAAAATAGAATATGTACAAAGATATTTGAAATGAGGTGTGACAAAGTGTCCTGTGACTACAATATAGACCTACTTCATCTACAGTTGGACACATATCAGATGAGCTCAGAACTGGACATAAACCTTTTTACACATTACATTACACTATTAGTGCTTGATTCAGGTATAAGTGAATTTGCAGCCAACATTCAACTATTTACATTGAGTATAAGGTCTGATGATGATGATACATAAAGCGCAGTGATTTCACCCATAAGTGTGTATGTGTGTGTGGTCACTTGCAGCAGGATTTCTTCTTCAGTGGTTGATCCACCAGTCTGACCGTGTTCACCCATACTCTGTCTTCCTGTTCCCTCAGGACTCTGCAAAAATATCATATTATGATATATATTATATTCTTTAACATAAGTCTTAGCTGTCGAATAAATAAAAATTGGGAGCACAACCAAAAACATTTTGAGAAAATAATAATTTATATTTTATTGGATTCTGTAAATGCAACTTTGATTATTATAAGTATTTGAATGAACACTTAAGTAAATGTAACCTACATTCATTTAAATGTAACCAATTTTAATTTGTTCGACAGCTGAAAGTATCTGGTTATAGTGGGGTTACTGTGTAGTATGTAGTCACATCGAGATGTGCCTTAATTAGCTCAAATTATGCATAGGGAATTTTAATAATTAATCATGAATATGATTAATATATTGCATATTACAGTTAAATTATCGAAATTGAAAATAGATCGATTGTATATATGAATGGTAAATCATAACGAATTATAATTCCTCATTCATATATCAATCGTCTCATTACAGATCGATTATATGAGACAACTTTAAGGGAATTAATTTAGTTTATCAAACAATCGGTTTGTCCAGCAAACAGCCGTAAGATTAACTTACCAACTTCTCAACAAGGTTGTCCCTTTTTATAAACTCCAAGAAATCTCAATGTTCCGGCCGTGAACATTAATTTTCTCGTGTTTATAAAATTTACGTTACTGATATAGTAACAACTTGTCAAGCTTTTGTAGCTATAGGATCGCATTTCATTGACTTGTAAAGTATGAGCATTCAAAACAATCAAGAATATAATGGTTTTAATAAAATGAAACTACGGATACAGAATTCTACATTTAAACACGGGATACATGTATGTACAGTAAACAGTAAAACAAATGAGACAGACGAATAACAAACAGGAGTGAGAGAGAGAGATTGCGAGAGCGCAAGATTGGGAGTTAGAGAGAGAGAGAGAGAGAGAGAGAGAGAGAGAGTGAGAAGATGAGAGATCTTCTGGTTTGGCAAAATTCATCATAGACACAGAACCTTTTTAGACACCAAGAATCAACAGATCTTAAACCTCGAAAGAATGGTAAACGGTTACTTGCACAGGTAAAGCTCTTTGTGGTTGATGTGAATAAGGGTGCGTGTCTCTGTCCTCGCGTCATGCGTTCACGTGGTTATTTCAGAGCGGGCAAAGCGCGTTAGTTTGAATGAAGGCTTAAAGGTCTTTGGTTCTCCTGGTGTTGCTGAGGAAAACCGCGTCTTGCGTGCGTGTCCTTAGGAGCGGGTGCGTGCTTTCTCAGCTCTTCTGGGCGAGCGTGGTCGCTGCAGATTCGAAGAGTCTCCTTCAGGTTGAAGTTGCCGATTACGTTCATTTCACTGAAACTAAACGTAAGAAAAGTCCGAAGACGAAAATAAAGAAAGATTAAAGAAAACGGAGAAAGCTCCCCGAAGGAGCCATGGATCCTCTCACAGGAAAAGCTCTCATGTGGCGTAGAAACTGCATCGAACAGATTGTGGCGTTCGAGTTTTGAAGGAGCTAGAGGCACGCCTTTCTTGCGTGTCCTATCCAATCGTTTGGGGAGGAGGCGTGTTGTCAAACTTCTGTGTTTGCGAAAACACACGCCCTCCGGGTCATGTGCATGGAAGATAACATTTAGTAAAAATACACTTCTAAACTGGTATTGATAAAAGTATGCCTCATGTTGCACTTTGGTTCAGTGATTCGATCTTATTCGATTCCTCTGATTCCAATCATACCAAGCGCGACATTCCTAGGGCTAGTAAAATGCAGATACATGATTTTCGTGATTAAACGAATGTCAAACTGATTACATACCATAAAAGCTTATAGTTACATCAATTTGGTCACATGGGGATTGTAAAACACAACAAGAGAAACACTTCATACGTTTAAAGAGGTAGGCATTTAAAAGTTCATGAATGAGTGTTTCTGCGTGTGTGTGTGTAGCAGAGTTCAGTTAGAGTTTGCCGGGGTGGTGGACTCTCGCTCACTCCCCCTCTGGGGAGTTTCGTGTGTGTGCGTACTCCTCTGAGTTGATGAGTTTAATCATTTGAGTGGTGGTGATCACGTTATTACACTTATGCTCTGTGTGTGAGGTGATTAAAACAGAGGAGACCCTAAGGGGTCTTCGGCCGGACTCACGAGATGTCATCTCGAGTCACATGTCCCGAGCTGGCTCGATTAGTAAGCAAAGCACTTCGTTGTTCATTCGTCAGAGAAGACGCTGCATGTGCGAATGAGTCAATGATTTAATCAATTCAAAACACTGTCCCCTTTGTTTCACGAATGGAAGAGACTTTAGTAAATTAGAATCTAGTTAATTTACTCCACATACCAGAGCTGGCTCGATTACCTATCTGATTATCACTACAAGTATTTAGTAGTATTGGGCAGGTCATGTGATCTCAACATGGCCGCCAACATGCACATTTAGTGGGCCTTTCAAAGTAAATAAACTACATTAGGTTCATAAGGTCTGCAACAACAACAAAAACGACTGATGTAAAGATGAGAGAATCGCATTTTGAAGATAAAACAACCCCACAAGCTTTCCGTTCGACATCTGATGATGTTTGCAGACAGCTAGCTGACTCACAGTTTTATACGTATCTTTTTTGTGGGTTGTAGCCCTGGGTGAGGTGTTACAAAGATCACAGCTAAACGTAGTACGTTTGGTAACGTTGCATTGAGGTGTTTTCAGTTCTTACCTGGCCAGATGTATCATGGCCTCCAACACATTAGCTCCAGTATAAGCACTGCACTCGTAGAACATCAGGTTTGTTTCCTACCAAATATGACGCAAATCGGTGCATAATGAGTTGGATAAAGTGATGTAGACTTGTGACAGCAAAGCATATGATGTAAATATGGTAAGATATACTGTGTGTGTGAGAGAGCACACCTCTGCAAGCATATCAGCCTCCTTTGTCTGCACTTCTCGCACATTCTCCTGGTCCGATTTGTTTCCCAGGAGCATGACCGGGATAGGGTCGCCTACGGCCTCCTGTATGCTGGTCAGCCAGGGGCGGACTGATCTGAAACTGTCCTCCATTGTTATGTCGTAGATGACCACCACGCCATCTGCCTTGCGGAAAAACTGCTTGGTAATGCTGCGATACCTGCAGAGCACAGTGACATTGCATTTCTTCACGCTGGATGTTTATCATCAGTGACAAGTGAGTTCATGTTTTGGTTGCGACAAGCTTTTTAGAGATGCTTTAAAGGATAACAGCACAGTCTGGGGAACAAAAATGAAGCATACACACTGAAGCTGAATGTAAATGTCCTAAATAAGAAGATATAAATGCAAAACTCTATCCTGTATGTTCGTATCAGGGCCTCACCTTTCTTGGCCTGCAGTGTCCCATAGCTGAAGGGCAAAGTGACAGTCCCCCAAATTCAGAGTCCGCACACTATAGTCAATGCCTGTACAACACAACACAATTGAAGTTATATATAAAAGTGCACTACACACATAAAGCTAAATAAAAATATACACAACAAAATAAAGGCATATAAAATACTGCTGAAATCATGTTCCTTTATTAAAAATCAAAACATACAACAAACCATTACTGCAGTGAGGGATAATGGCCACTAGAGGTTACTGTTGAGTAATATTTCTGTGTGGAATATACAGGTGTTTTAAACACTTTAGCCACATGCTTATGATTGTCATTGAATTATAGAGAAAAATATCGAACCAAGTTGTATTTATTCCAAAGAAAGACAACAAAGTAACATTCACTAAAAATTGACTTGGGACCAGCTGGTTGAAAGTAACTAAAATGGCTGGGAAAAGTCCAGTGTTAATTGCCATTTTGGTTTACTTGTAACTAATACAATTACATTTTTTAATCAGAATTATTTAAACGTCCATGTTGTTTATGGGCCACTAGAGTCCAGGGGTGAAAGCCTAGAAACTTTGATATAAAGTGAACTGATGGTGTTTGACATAATCTGCTGCGCAATGTGTGGCAGGCTTTAAATGCAGGGAGTGTGACTTCCCAAGCCCTTTCATGTGATGTTTCCTGCTTTAAGAAATCCATCTGATATAGCATAGTAGGTTCATTAACACTCACACATATTCAAACCCAATGCACTGAAACGCCTTTAAGGAGTAATACTATATGCAGAATAATAATGCACAGACCATTTAAATCATAACAAAAGAGATTGCTGTAATTCATCCTTCTGATCAAATAAGGTAAACTCCAGTAAAAGGGCAACCAATTTGCATTTACTGAAAATCCCTCACTGCAAAGTCATCTGTTAAACCCACTTGAACTGACCCGTCCACTCACCAACTTGTGCAAAGTTAAATTGTAAATTGCACATGGAGGGAGAGAGCAACTTACCCACAGTGGCTGAGGTGGCAGAATGAAACTGTCCATCACAGAAGCGTCTCAGCAGTGCGGTTTTACCAACACTGGAGTTTCCCACCAGAATGACCTTAAAGAGGCGTTGAGGGGATGCGGCAGCACCTTCTGCTGGACCCTGTAGCCAAAAACACACACAGTGACATCTTTAAAGTAAAGCTAACAGCTGGATGTGTTGAGTGCACATAGTAAAAAACACGATTACACTTTAAATGGGCCATAGTCTCGAAATCCACATATTATGTTATTTAAAGTCTCTTACATTTTGACTCCGTCTCTGATTTTTGAATTAAGAATTATTTGGTTTTATGACTTTAAAATGTAAATGCATGTGAAATGAGGTACAAATGATATGTCCCGTCACTGACCTGCTGGTGGGTCTCCTTTCCGACAGGCTGACCCCGTGCAGACGAGGGCATGTTTCCTCTGATCCACTTCGACTTAGACGGCTTCTTCACCCTAACTGGTGGTGGAGAGTCAGCAGAGGCCAGAGACGCATTGGACGGGTAGAGAGAGCTCGTCTCTAGATCCCCCTGAACTTCTTCCTCTCCGGCTCGCTCTTCTTCTTCCTCACTGAGCTGATGCAGAAGAAGGTGAGGGTCTCCTTGTAACAGGTGGGGGAGGTGGTCCTCCTCGATGGATATGACTCTGCGTAGAGGCCAACCATCCGGTGGCGCATCCTCCACATCCCCTCTGTCATTTACACCTTCCGAGTCCCCAGACACCTTCTGAGATTGCACATCCACCTCCGGCTTCCCATCATCCCCTGCGGTGAAGGGTGAACATTGACTGTTTGCTAAAGAGGTGGTCTTCCTGTTAGAGCGCTGAGTCACTTCCTCTTCGTCAACTTCTCTGAAATGACAGTGAGAGGTGAGAGTAAATGTGTCCGTGTTATTAAATCATGTACGTAGGTATCCACGTGCGAATATGTGAAGATGTCTCACTTTTTGACAGATGGTTTCCTCTCAGTGTATTTTATTGAAGCTGCGCTCAGTCTGTGCTTGCGTGAGGATTTCTTCATTGAATTGCTGCGTTTCTGTTGTAAATTACAAGGAGATATTCTGTTTATGATTGCTCTTATTAGTCAAAAGTTGGAACACATCCACTCATTTTTTATTATTAACATTTTCCACGTTTTAGAAAAACAGTAAAGTCGTCAAAACTATGAAAAGACACAAGATAAAGGAAATATGGGAATTATTATGTGACCACAAAATGCTAAATTAATTTCTAATGTCTAAGCTTTAGAACAAAATGTTTTAAGATCATAAGAAGCATGAATAAAAACATTTACAAAACCGCACCACCAAATTACAATAAAATGTAAAAATAAAAATATTTAAAATCGTAAACTTACCAGAAAGCTAATGTCTCGCTCATCTCGCAGATGTTTATTCATTTCTCTAAAAGAACAACATTTCATTTGAGATGTTTGTTGTTTGTCTACAGCATATGTAAGGATGTATTGAGCTCACCTGAGTAGATCTAACTGTTTCATCAAGCTGTGTTTTTCTCTCTGCAAGCCTTCTGTGATTCTGTACATCTCCCTGTGAGGGTAAAGCGCATGTGTGTGTATGAGAGACACAAAGACACTGGTGGGATTTCCGTGTGTACATAATAAATGGCCAGACTGACATCTCTCTCTCCTGCTGTAGTCGAGACGCCTGCTCCTGCAGAATGCCCAGCTGCTCCTGAGCCAACTCCAGCTCCTGGCAGGTGTGCTCAAGTTCACGAGACAACTCCTCATTGGTCATTTTCAGTTTAACATTCTCCAGTCGACTCTCCTGTTGTTCGCTATGAAGGTCACGGCATTGTCGCTCTAACTGAAAAAAAATGATATAAAACAGCTGTGAGTTGAAAAAGGTGTGAGTGCCACAGAAGTATAAGATTTTGTATGATTCTGCCTGTTCATTTGTGGCTCTCACCCTCCTTTGTTTTTGGAAAAGCTGCTCCAAATCCTGTTCTTTACTACGGAGCCGCTGCTGGAGGTCCTGACTGCGCAACTGCAGATTTTCAGAGTCCTGAAACAGAGAATTAACATAGAATTTCAGTATTATTATTACGATACAAAATAACTGAAATGTATGAAGCTGAATTGTCTTGAGTGTCACATGATCCTTTAGAAATCATTTTAATATGCTAATTTGCTGCTCAAGAATAATTTCTAATTATTATAAATATTGAAAACAGTTGTGCTGCTTAATATTTTTGTGGAAACTGTGATACATTTTTTTCATAATTTTAGAAAGTTCAAATGTCTTTACTGACACGTTTGATTCATTTAATGCATCCTTGCTTAATTAAAGTATTAATTTCTCTCTCTTTTTTTATATTCTCAACTGTATAGTGTAAAGGCACATGCAACAGTTCATAAGAATGTTTTTACCTTCAGAATTGCTTGATCTTTTTCATTAATGATCTGTTGCTCCATTTCCTCATATAATCTGCGAATTTCGTTGTCATGTGTGGCTGCTTTCCTGTGCAATGACAATGGCGTTCAATGTTAAAACATGCATTTAGCCTAATACAATCCAAAGATCAAACACAAACAAGTCTTTCATATTATAGAATTTTTTCCAAATTCTCACAGTATTACATTCCAACCACTGGCTCAGACCTGCAAATCCAGGTAATAATTAAAGGATCATAAGATTTCATGTGTATCTTTAAACAATGCATGTTGCAAACCACATCATTCTGACCTAGATTTGATCAAAATACATTTTATTCCCACCAGAAGTACTGCAAAAACCTGGGTAAACTTGGTGGTCACTGGAGGGATAAAACAGCATTCTATAGGGAATTACATTAAGCCTCTAAACGGGGATTATTCACAAGTAACATGGGGGGAAAATAAGAAAACAAGGGAGATTTTTGGCTCTTAAACATGCGACTTTAGATGGCACTGCTCTAAATTCATTCTCATTTCATGTTGCATAAAGAATCATCACGTCACCTTCTGAGGGTGCTCTCCATCTCCTTCCTCTCTTGTTGCGCCTCTTTGATTTGATATGTGACACGGGCCAGGAACTCTTCGAAGTTGGACAGGAGGTTAGGCTCATCCTTCCTGAGCTGAGTCCACAGGCTGCGAACCTCACTCGGGCTGAATTGAAGAGAGAACTGTTACTGCTTGTAACAATATAAAGCTAATGTCTTATTGCAATGCCATGTGCAGTGGTAAAACATCAGTACTAACTCCTCAAACATATTGCTAGCACCCAAGCTCTCCATCAACACGCTGAAATGTCTCTCTTCATCATCCTCTTTCCCTGACAGCTCTTCATCCCCTGAGCTCTGAGAGGGTGTATTCATTAGTTCCTCAGTCTTGGAGACTCTTCGTCCGTAAAGAAAGTTACCTGGGGACCAGTTACAGATACACCTTGTAAAAGTGTGTAATTTGCTGTGCTATATATATGTACCAAATAACAAATGATTTTTGAATAGATCCTCTTGACTGGAAGGAGATGATCATAAACTCACTGAATCCGGAGGAAAACTCTCCCATGGTCAGGTATCCATTTTTTTCCAGGTCTAGCGAGTCAAAAACATTCTCGAGTTCCTCAGCAGTGAGTGGCAATTCTTTGAGTAGCCTCTAAGATAGAGAGAATGATGGTTTATGATTAAATACTCAAGAAACAGATGGAAAAATGACATCATCAACACTATTTTCAGCCATCTAGATATTCTGATAGCCTAACCCTTTGTGCTAGAACATTGTAAATAACAAATCCTTTTACACAGGAGGGGAAATAATGCAACTGTTATGGTTATGTTCTGTTTGTAGACTCTTATGTTGTTTCCTTTGGTTTCTGTGTTTCCTTCCTGTGTTTAGCTCCTGTTTGCTTGTCCTTTGTTACTATGGTTACTCATTGGTTAATTGATAATGTTCACCTGTGTCTTGTTTGGTTCCTAATTTAGCCTGTGTATTTAAACTGTCAGATTGTTTCAGTTCATTTGTCCTGTGTTGTCTTTGAGTAGAAGCAGAAACTGTTACGTTACGTTTAACTATTCTTAAGATTCCAGTGTTTTGGATTATCTTTGTTTTCATTTTTGTAAATAAAAGACTGCTACAATTTAGGTCCTCTTCTCCTCTTTCCTTGCCTGAACTGTAACAGAAACATGCACCCTCAATATTTTAATAAGAAAAAAATAATTGATGGCCAGAGAAAGCTAAAAAATACAAAAACTTAATTTGAATACAGAGCTGTAGAGTTACACCAAAGCCATGGCAGATGTAAAAAAATATATATTTAAATAATAATAATGAAAGAATGAAAATGTAAAGTGGTGAAGGACCTGTCAAGTTAAGGACCCCTACTTTACCCTCATATCAGTGCGTGTGATGAAGCCCTTTCCCTCGCTGTCACAGATCTGAAAGAAGTCCTCTATTTTGTCCAACATAGCAATGTGTCCCCATCCTGCGTTCTTCTTCACACTTTTCCTCGGCCGCGGTTTCGGCTGCTTCTCATCCTGGTCTGAGCCACTCCTGGTGACCCGTGTGTCTCTAACGTGTCCGATCTCTGACATGATTCCAGCACTGTTTACCTTGGCCGTCTTTGAACAGGTCAGGATACAATGTAGGCGAGAGACGTGAGAGCACAACTGGGACGGAATCCAAAGCTAGATCCAATACAGGGAATTATGCTGATTAATTCAGGAATCATCATTTATTGTCTTGTACTGAATGCCTGCATGGGTCCCAGGCAGCAGAAAGAAACAGAGAAAGAGCAACACATCAGCAATCCTTATCGTCTTTAGGAATGTTAAGACTTTGAGAAGTGAAATGCAGATTAGTCTTAGTCATCATCACTGGCACTGCTGACGTTATTGGTAAGCAGACCTGTCCCACCACCACAATGTCAAGGGGGAACAGGTTTCTGTGGTAAATTTTCATGTTTGATCTCAAGTCGAACTTGCTAAGGGTTGAAAGAGGGGGTATCAAGTAGTTTATATTTTAATTTAAGCAAGAACCAATTAAAATGAACTTTTACATGGTTGACAGACAGATAAAGTTGACACATCCTGTGTTTAACAATAAATAAGAGTTGAATGTTAGCGCTCTGTGTAATTTGTGACATTAAACTAAACACTCGATGAAATACTTATTTCATGAAGCCTCAAACTAAAATCCCATAGCCTGTACAAGGCAAGTTGAGTTGAGTTCTTATAGCCTAGAGGAATTCTTAAATACAGAAACACCTCTTACCTGAACGTTACTCTTCCAGGTCTGTACAAAAAAGTTGGTATTAACTTGTTTAATTAAATCCAGTAAATGAGTGAAGTGTGGAGAGCGCCTTTACTCGTGTTTGCTCGGACCAGACCCTTTTACAGTCTATGGACCAGATCCGCGGTCACTGATGAGGAGGAATAAATGTTCATCTTGCGGTCAGATTTAGAACAGGAAGTTTCTTTGGTGACAGAAACGCGGCGCATCCTCGATGATAGCAACAACACCACAAAACAGTATTTCCGTTTACGGTTGAAACATTTTTATCCTGGAAATATGTGACTATTACGTGGAACAACATTAGGCTATTACAAGAACAGCTGATGGTGTTGGTCATAAATCAATGGCACCAGAATGTGTTGGTTATCTCGGTTCACACAAAACGTTCATTACCCTTTTTTATTATTGTTTTGCTATGCTATTATTGTAAACATTCAACGGATGTTTTTGACCACGCTGCTTTTTTTTCCAGTGTAGCCATTCAGCAGGACGACATGTCAAGCTTAAAAACATTTTATATGCCGTGAAAAACCTGCATCTAGAGTTTTTTTTTCTTTTTGAAACTAATTTGATGTAGGCCTAGTAAAATGTTTCCATTTCTTCTAGAATTAACCATCATCATGTAGCCTATGCTAAACTATATGAAACGGCCAAACAATCAAGATTACAGGGTAAATTTAAATGATTGTCAGTCAAAAAACATTTAAATCCCGCTAGAGAGTGAATAGGCCTACAATCTGCCATTGACTAATTGAGCCAATCCCCCAAATGGGTGACATTTTGTCCCCAGGACATTATAAAATGCATGAAAATAGGAAAGTCCGATAGTTCACTTGCCTTGGTCCGGACCAAATTTTTTTTTTTTTTTTTTGGTATAGGCTACTGCTCGCTTTCACACTGCTCTTTTTGCAAGTGAACCAACATTTGTAAACAAAACCACACGTGTGCTAAGCTCGTCCATTCATTGGACAAGGATTCTCAAGTAGGGAAATCAGGAAGTGCAAAAAAGGCTCAGCATGGAGATATTTCGTACTGCAATATTTGTTATTTTACTAATTTTGTGTTATTCTGTACAAACGCAATAGAAACTGCGCAGAAGACGGATAAGGTCAGGCCCGGATTGGCCATCTGGCAATTCTGGCACATGCCAGAAGGGCCGGTGTGATTTTCTATTGTTTTGGGCCGAGCTGACCACGTTGCTGCACCGTTATCGCAAAACAGTTTTTACGCTCGCATGAGGAGGTTTTTCAGGCAATTCGAAAAAGGAATATTTCGCAAAACTGCAATGGAAACAGTTTTTGCGCATTTACAGTCACCTGAAGACGCGGTGTGTTTGGGGTCCGTGATATACGCAAATAATAGGCTAATAAATATCATCATTATTATAACAGTTATTAGGCTACATATTTAGAAGACGCTTTTATCCAAAAAAAGGAACAAAGCAATTCGTCAAATGTCATTCATAATGGTTAGACAATAATAATATAGGGCTAAGATTATCACAAATAAACACAAGATTTTGACGCATATCCAAGTGTTTGCTGAGCGCGCATGGCACGGAGGCGCGGCCGCGAACACTTGCTTTTTCCTATCAACAGTAGAAACAACTTAAAATAGGCCTACTCTATAATTTCTGGTCATACAGAAAATAATAATACATTATTCGCCACTATGATTTTATTTGTGTAAACTCACAATAACAAGAAAACGTTGTGCTTTTGTAAAATAAAATAAAACAATCATGCGCGCTTTCATGATCTCCGTGAACTGGAGCGCGAGAACTGAAACAAAGTATAGCCTAGTATGTAGGCTAAAGCTTGAAGTGTCCACTTTAAAACGAACAAATTCGAATCGACACCTACTGTCTATGCTCTCCACCGACTGCGCTGATCAAAAGCATGATGGGAAACGACTTGCTGACGGCACAGCTTAATGCTCATTGGTTTAAACAACCGTGATGTATTGTTCTCTTTTAAAATGTTTGATTTTAAAACTCTGATATCATGTTTTATGTGTATAGATTATGTGTGGATATCCCCAAACTCTCTGACAGTGCGATCTATGTGATGTAATTTTTTAAAAATAAAATAAAAATAAAAACACATATCTGTAAAGAAAAAAAATGATTCATAAACATATAGGCCTATTTAAAATGGAATTAAATAAGTACTTTGGGTGTCTTGTTCATTATATTTATTTTCATATTCAGGCAACAAAACTTAAAATACATCCAGTTTTGTAGAGGGGTTTTGGATAATGTGCTGATCAGGTGATTGTGCTCGCCCCAGGGTGTCAATCAAAACACATCACAGGATTCAGAATCTTCTCATCTTTACTTGGTATTAGTGTGTATATGTAGGTGTGTGTGGTCTGAAATAAACAAATGAATAACATTACAATAAGTAATTACAGTCTTCATACATAATAATAATATACATGTCATTCTACATCCAATACAATTATCAGGGTTTAGACTGCATTACCGAAATTAACCGCTAGATGTCGCATGAAGCGCATATAATGAGGATCGCGAATTCTCCGTGTCTCTGAGAAAACACCGAGTCATCATATATTGGCATGGCCACGAAAATACGACGAATACTATTAACTTGACACTCATTAAAGTGTTAACATTGCACTAAGTAAGCACAAACAAAGTATAGAGAAATAAATAACTTTTGTAACTTAAATAACTTTGTATCTGTTATATTTATGACGGTCCGACTATGACGTGAGGTTAGTATCGTTAAGGCAATAAACAGCTCGATAATTTACATCAACTAAAACAGTAATGTGGCAGATAACTATTACTAAAGCACAATTAAGTAAATAGACTTACATTTTATCATGAACGCACACACAGAAGATAAACACTGAAGGTTAAGATACAGGAAGATATGATGCCCGTTCTTCTCTTGACTCCACTTGCTAGCTATTCAGGAAGTTTTCTAACTCGCCACCTAACGTCATAGCAGCGTCACCAATAAGTTCGTCGCTGATTGGTTAGATCTCCTTAACATCGCCGCCCCCAAATATGCCGGGGCATATTTGTTCCTGCGTCTAAGTTTCTAAGTGTCAGTAATCTCAGGTAAAAGGATGAGACGGGCAACAGGCCGCATATATAACCGGCCTTTAACGTTGATTTCTACAGACCTTACATGTCCATCAGCCCCAGGGAATGTCCTGACTACTCTCCCAATTAACCAGAGGGCACGGGGTAGCTGAGGGTCAACCAACATTACAACAGATCCGACTGTAAGGGGTTTAGTGTCTGCATGCCATTTCTGACGTAACTGGAGGTTAGGCAAGTAGTTTCTCATAAAGCTTGACCAGAAATGATCAGTAAGGACTTGGCTCTGTCTCCATCTACGCCGTCCTATGAGCTCAGTTGCGGGGTACATCACTTGAGGTAGAGAGCTGTCTGGCCGCCCCATGAGCAGGAGATTTGGGGTGACTGGATCCAGGTCAGCTACATTGGAGGATACATATCCTAGGGGCTTGCTATTGAGAATTCCCTCTATCTCAATGAGCACTGTTTGAAGCACTTCCTCTGTCACTGTTTGTGAACCTACTACTGTACGGAGGGCATTTTTGAGGGATCGGATTTCTCTCTCCCAGATGCCACCAAAGTGGGGAGCACTAGGAGGGTTGAAGAGGAAGGTGATTTTTTGTTTGGCAAGATGTTGTTGAAGCTCTGGCCTACAGTTTGTTAAAGCTTCTCTTAATTCTCTCTCTCCACCGTGGAAATTGGTGCCATGGTCAGAAAGCAATTCAGATGGGGTGCCTCGACGTGCAATAAATCTCCTCATAGACATTAGGAAAGAATCTGTGTCTACAGATGTGAGGAGCTCAATGTGTACACATCGAGTGGTCAAACACTTGAATATTATACCCCATCTTTTTTCACAGCGTCGTCCTACTTTTATTTGGAAGGGACCAAAGCAGTCCATCCCAGTGCTATAGAAAGGGGGTTTGTGAAGTCTTAGACGGGCTGGGGGTAGATCAGCCATTTTAGGGACCTCAGCTTTGGCCTTCCACTTGCGACATTCTATGCAGTTGTGCTGGAATTTGCGAATTGCCTCACGACCTCTTAGTATCCACACATTTCTCCTCATTTCGGCAAATACCCGTTCTGTTCCTGGGTGACAGAGCTTACAGTCATAGTCCTGTATGAGCAGTTTGGTTGCTGGATGGTGAGGATCCAGAACTATGGGGTGAATTGTCTGGAGTTCTAGACCTTCAGCACGACGTAGACGTCCTCCAACGCGTATAAGCTGATTGGCTTCATCAAACTCTGGTGATAAAGTGAGTAAACGGCTCGTAGTGGATACAGGCTTACCAGCTTTCAAACGTTCATATTCCTCGGAGAAACTGTCACGTTGGATATTCTGGAAGATAATGAATTCTGCCTTCACATAGTCTTTAGCCGTAGCTGGACTGGATTGGTTTGGGTCACTTTGACTGTGCTGGACTGTGGCTTCAACAAGGTCCTTCCATGTACTGTACTCGCTGGGGTTCGAGGGGATTGATACTCTGGTGACACCGCAGAATACACTCTTTTTCCTTTCCATTTCATCCTCAGGAGGTTGAAGGACTGG